TTCCCTCCCTCCGCTCCTTAAAATTGTCCAGGGAGCAGCTAGGTTCTATGCAAGAGAAGCTTAGCCATAGTGCTGACTAACAGCTAATCTCTTACTAGTAAGTCATAGTTTGTTCCTGCAGGCCAGTAGGGCTGTTTGAGATCCTTTCACTTCTACAGGAGTACTCACCAGCGCAAGCAGCATTGCTGTTCTTAAGACTTGAGTGTATTACTATTTCAAGATCCTTTCTAGAACTCAAAGAACAAAAGGGGAGGGAGGACAAGGGGCAGATAAGAGTGCATCTACCATTTCTCAGATTGCACCCTTCAGTCCACTGCTGGCACACATTTCTAGAAACAAGGATTGGGTTTTTTGAGTAAATAGCTTTAAGTGAAAATTCCAGCTGGCTTGGACTTTAAAAAGGGAGTTTGTTTATTTATTTTGGAAGACTTTTGCTAACAAACAGCCATTTGAACTCACAACGCCTTTTTAGCTAACATATGAGAGTTGAAGTTTTAGTTTTAAGAGTACTATTTTTTCCAGATACCAAAACCAAATAGCTATATAAAATGTTAGTTGCTGCAAATGAGAAAAACACATCATCTCAGGCAGAGCAATCCATCTGTCATTGCAGGTGTTCCAGGAGAGAACAAAAGTAGAAAAAGCAAGAGATAAATTAGCTGATGGATGGTAGAATAAATCTAGATTGCTCTTTTGAGAGAAGTGCATTCCAGCTATTTCTTGAAGCAGGAAATACCCATACCACAAGATCTCACCATATTTGTTTGCAGAATATGACATCCTTGTATGAAGATTTTAAACATCTTTATGCAAGCTCCACCATCAGAGTTGAAACTGGTTCCAAAACGGTTTCTTTATACTTACATAGTAAATGTCGTAGTAAAAGTAAGAGCATCTCCATTCAGGGAGCTGGCAGTACTTGCTAATGGAGTTGCAACCATGTTTTCTGCTCCAGATCTCAGTATTATTATATAGTAGTAATTTGCTGCTTCTGTAAATACATATCAGATGGTTTTGATAGCCAGACATGTACAAGTATCTAAAAACCGTAAAGTACTGCGTTGCCATTAAACGCACCTCTGTTTCACCCCACTTAAACACTTGGTTACAGTCAAGACTTGCTTATAAACTTACTCTTAAAACAAGGGGGGTTTTTTTCCCCTCCTGTGTCCACTAGTGAGACTGTATCCACAGGGTTCACAACAACTGCATTACTGCCTGGGCCATCTCAGGCCAGACCTACACTACCCAGCGCGTGAGAGGGGAGAGGAAGAAATTTCAGTCAGATTCAGCAATTAATCTTAGTTCCTTAGACTATGTTGTTATTCTCTAGGGCTGCCAGCTTAACTATACATCAGCTTTTGCTACTGCCCATTCTCATACTTTTTTCACTCCTATGAAGGAACTCGTTATCCAGGCAACTCATTTCCCTAAGTTTTCACATAAGGGGAAAAAAAGAAAGACGACCACAAGCACACATCTCAATAGTGTCAGGAGATGACTTGGAGTTTGTGCAGCAAATTGCTGAACAGTAAAGCAAGAGCATTGCACAGTATCATACCATGTTAAAAAAAAAAAACAACACCAAACACAAAAAACCCAAAACAGTTTGAGTGCTCTGTTGTACAGGACAAGTCACAGCTTTCAGAACAACTGTTAAGACTCCAGTAAGCATCGATTTGTACTCTTTATATTTGATGTTCTCTTCAGAGATGAAAGTGATTAATAGAACTTCTGGTGCACAATGTATAGCAAATGCTGCACTTCCAGAACAAAGTTCTGATGGCATATACTTCACAGTTGTTTATTTAGACAATTTGGTTGTAAGAATTACTGATAGAAACTAAACTTATATTTTTGTAATAATTAGAGATATAATGGAGATGAATTGCCTCATGCAACAAGAACTGTAACATGTCAGGGGCGGGTGGGAATGGTAAATTATGTCCGATATTTACATTTATATTCTTGGCTGTGGTTTTATTTGAAGATATAAAAAACATACTTTACATTTCATAGGACAGTTAAACAAGAAAACAAGAAAGGCTACATATGAATTAGAACTTTTGTAACCAATATTAAACAAGACTTTGTCCAATGACTTTTGTCCTCAAGTTTTAGCGAGGCAAGAAGTAGGAACTTGTCCAGCTACAATCATATTCTGTGGCATTATATAAAATAGCACTGGTTATTGTGGGCTTGCAGATTCTTTAAACAACCACATGACACAGAAGCTTACTATGTTCCAGGATAAGTCTCTAGACCTACAGAGAGATAATGCCAGATATTCTTCTGGAACAAAAGAAACAAATCGACATTTTAATGCTTTAATAACTTAAATATGACAAGATAATGGAAGACTAGTCTTTGTAAATTAAGTATTTTGGGATGTTAAGGAGGACAAAAAAAAAGGCTTAATGAGCCTTTCACAACACCACAGAGGTCAGAATTTATGTAATGATATTTAGTACTAGACTTGCATACATCAAAAAAATTCCAAGGCAGCAAGAGAGAAGATAACTTGAGATACAAAATTCTACTTCCTCCCCAACAGGTTACAGAGGACCACAAAGATCTTTAAGACTGGCTGGGAAAGTCTTGATAAGTTTCTTGAACCTCATAAGCCAGAAAAGGAGGCAACTAAAACAACCATAAAATATGGAAAACTTAGCAAAAAAAGCAGATCAATCAAATATAATTGCCAAATTTTTGTTGCCTCCAGAGTTCTGAGAAATACCAATGCAGAAGACAAAAAACCCGAGGAGAATAAACCAGAAATATATGTAGAGAGGATGGTGGAAGGGGGAGGGAAGGGGGAAAGCTTTCAGTTGCTAGTTTTACCTGGCTTTTGAACTGTACCACATACGAAGTCTGCTTTTAAAGGTAGACGCATTTCTGAAATGGAAACAGATCCCCTGGATGGAGCAAATTCAGTGGATGTAGAAGCAGCTTTATTTCTTCTACTATGAGGTCCCTCACTCTTCAGTTTATTCAGTTCTTCCAATAAAGCCGTTCTCTTCTCAGCTGCATAGAGAAATTACTTGTAACAGAGGAAGAAGTAGTACTGAACAATTTTTTTTTCTTTTTTGCCATAAATATGTGAAATGCAACAGAAATGTTAATCATCTTCCAGAATAGTAGGAATATTAGGGACAAAAGAGATACCAAAAATGTCCTCTTGCCTATAGAAGAAGCTGAGACAGAACAGATATTATCCTCTCCAGTTTTCCAGGTGAAGCACTGTAAAGAAGCAGCTACAAGGTAGCGTAATAAATTTAGCATAAAAATAGCATTTCCAGAGTTCATCAATTCTTCCCAAAGCATTCACGACAAAGAATTGAACTTGAGTCTAAAAACCTACTTGCAAGGAGAAGAAGTCTCTCTGCCTCTGCTTCCTCTTGTGACCCTTTTCCATGTTCCTCATCAAAACAGCAGTTCAGAGCTTGACTGGCTTGATGAATCACTGTCTGCTGCATGTTGATCTCATTATTCAGCTCCTGGAATAAACCAGTAGTAAAAATAATTAGCAAGAAGAGAGATATTTACTGTTACATTTAAACAAGTATATGTCTTGAGATTAGCATTTCTGGGGCTATGCTTCAGAAAAATCAGACCATTTAAATAGTAAAATATAAAAATCTTGCAGTTTACAGTTACTTCTGCAAAAGAATACTGCAGCACAACTTTTTTTGACCTCAGAGATAATTTAAATACGGTGGGGAGTGAATGACTTCAATGTTTGTACGCTCCATATCCAGTCTAGTCTTCCTTTCACCAGGGGATGCAGCAGTTAACCAGAAATTCAGCAATGTAGGTGAACGAGGCACCAGTGAAGATGAGAATATGCCTACTGAAAGTATGTAGTTATGAATCCTGCCTAATTCAAAGGCAGTAATAAGATACAGATTCCCCGTCCCCTTCTCAAAACGATGGCTTGTTCTCTCCAGATTTACTCTATAGCGTGATCCTTCTAAGAGATGCATTAGCTGTTCAAATTATGCAGTATCATTGCCTACTGTTAAATATTTATGCTAAACAATCTGATTTTGCAGTTCTAAGGAGTCTGTTAATGTCCTGGACATTCACAGGGGAAATTAAGCGAGGAAATAGTAAATTAGGAAAAGGATTTTAAGAAGTATATTAGATACCTGCATTTTCTTTTTGATATTGACTTGATCAGATGGGCCATTCTTTTTCATTTCTAGTTTGGAAGCAACATCTTCTTTGCGAACAATAATTTGCTTTATTGAAGGACGATCGGTTTCTTTAAATCTTTGAGATCTATATGCATCAACGCTTTCAAAAGAGGAAGCCCCATTAAGTGTTTCACAGGTGTGCCAAGCTTTTTTTTTTTTTTTAATATACATACATAGGTATCAGGTATTGATGTTTTCCGACTTGCCTAAATGACTTTAAAAAAGCATTCTATCGGCTCATTTTAAGTTTAAGCAACCTAAAGACTACACAGAGACAATCTTTGACAAAGGTTGAGATCTTGGAAAAAAGCAGTATGCTTCATTAGAAGAGTTAAAAAAGCCAGTGTCTTAATTTGCACACTTACAGAATGAGGTGTGGTTTTTTGTGTTTATTACCTATATGGAAGGTTGCGATCTTCTGACATAGAGCCAATACTGTCTCCAGATTCTGCCCTGGGGACTTTAGTCCTTTGGAACTTTTCAGACTTCAGACTTACATCACTGATACTGCTACCTTCACCAGTTGACTTACAAGGAGAAACAAAGGCCTGGAGAGAAGAAATGGTTATATTACAGATTATCTGTCCACATTAATCATTATTTGTTTCCTCTCGCCTTTACTTGTTTTGCGATTACACATAAACAGTGAATTTGGAGGCTGCTTAATACTATTTAACAGACATTTACAGATATTTCCTAGGACATAAAGCAAGCTACTTTTTTTTTTATTTATTTATTTTAAAGACACCAACAGAGCATTGATCTCAAGGAGATTTCACCTTTAAGTTTCCAAACTAGTACAGTTACATGATTACTTCTTTTCAGATTTTTCATCAGTAACCACTTTACTGAATGCATGTATACCACTGGAAGTCCAGAATAAGTAATAGATGTATATACTCAAGCTTGATTTAGCAGAAATTAAACCCCTTGTTTAGCAGAGCATCCAATATTCTATGCTATTTTCAGAGGAAAAGAACTTTACCTCATTATGTTTTCATTAGCGAAATGTCATTTGTAACTTCGCTATTTGTCCATATATCACAATACAACAAAATACCACTGTTCTCAAGCAAATTGTACATCTCCGTGTGATAAACAAGCCCTTCCCCATGTCCTAAGAACTCTCACCTCCGGACCAACAGATTCCACTAGAGGGGTTAACAGAGACATTGATGAAATATTCAGTGACTCTTCCTGCTCATCCTCATCACTTTCACCTTCCAGGCTCATGCTCATTTCTTTCTTCAGCTTTTCTATGTCTGGACCATCCTCTTGAAGAATTTCAAAAATTTCGTTTATCACTTTTGAGCTATTCATCTCGTCATCCACACTCATTTCGATTTCATATACTTCATCTGAAGGGTGATGTTTTAAAAATATTAGCAGCAATCAAGACTAAACTCTTCATTCTCATTAAATGAGCAGAAAGATGTTAACAGATAGGCCAACTATTTTTACTTTTCAAGTAATCTTGACTAAAAGGCACTTGTTATTATAGTCATGCATATAGAACCCTAAAGTATAGTTCCATCCTTATTTTAACATACTATTATCACATATACTGTGTAATTGATACGGAGAGGGAATAAAAAGATGCACTTGTTAGACAAGTTTCAACATTCTAGTTCAAAGAAGTATGAATCTTAACTGCAAGTCCCATAGTAGAGCAGTCATTTCTGTTCTTTCCCAATAAACTTTAATATCAGCATTTTAATATTCCTTGAAGGCTTGAATATCAAGAGACAAGTGTTATTATAAAAGAAGTTTCCCGACTTGTTTTATATAAGCCTCATTACAAAGCACACATGAGTGTCAGCAGATGTGTGATGAATTCATTGTTCAGACTCGAAGGATATTAACACTCTGCGGGACAAGTGGCAACAGATAGGGAAGTGCATTAATATACATCTACTCAATACAAACCTTTTGGTTTCTCAGCAAGTTGTTCAAGTTTTGAGACAGACATCGCTTTTATAGGGCTCTTTGGCTCAGTGATCTTCAGAGGACTGCGTTTATCAGTCTCTTCACATTTAGGAGCATCTAAGTTTATAAAAAAGAAGTCACTGAAGATTATGTCTATCCTTTGAATTTTTTTTTTTTTTTTTTTTTTAGTTATTGAATTTTGGAAGTTTGATAATATAGCTGACAACTTACAAAAAGCCCGCTAAATTAAGTATTCCAGTTATCTTGCTGTCAAAAAAAAGCATTAGAATACATACCCTCCACAACCTGTACAGTTAGACTTCTATCTTATAATCAGAAAGCTGATAGCACAAGAAAAAATGCTGAAACAATAGTAGAGTGCACTCAAGAGCAAAAAGGGAAAATTTGAAAAACAAACAAACAAAACCCTACCACACAAAAACCACCACACACAAACCCACCCAAGAGCACATTTGATAGCCTGTTTGCCCGTAATGTCTATAAGAAGTGTTAAGTTCACTCTCTTTTCACAGAGAACTGGAGGCTCTTCCACTCACTAAGCACCAGAAAGGATGTCATGAGCATCTCAGAATTCTCTTCACATCCCCTACTACAAGAATTAATATCATAAGGGGATACTGACAAGGGAAGAGCTCCCTCCCATTAGATTATTGTGGAAATTTGTATATGCAGGTACAGTATAGATTAAACCCATAACTGATGATTCTTATTCACTCTTTCTACACTTTACATACATGAAAGTATGAAACATAGGTAAACCCACTGAGAAACAAAAAGGCAGTCCGCCTTGCCAATCTTTCAAGTGGTATAGGAGTGCAGAGTATTATTATCATACAAGCAGATTTAGACAAATCAGAAACCAAACAAGAGATCTTGTTCTATACATCAGTGCTACTAGCCTCTTCATCTGCTCATGAACATCAAGGGCAGTGCTTCAGACCAGTATTAGCCACAGTCAAGCAGTGACAGTTCTTACCTGAAGACTCCACACTGGGAGACTTTGCTGGCCTGTCACCTGCTGGTGTGTCTTCTGCTGATCCAAAAGCAGTGGCATCTGAACTAGGAAGACATTTTGGACTAGCCTGAGATTGGCTTTCCTGGCAAAAATTAAAACATAGTACATTCAGGAGGTAATGTTCAAAGTGACTAAAAAAACTTCCAGAAAAAAACCACACTTTAACACCTGCTAGGAAAAAGAGGTTGCTTATCCAATATCAAAAAGGATCCTATTTATTTATGTAAGAAATTCAGCTGAAGTACTAAATACTAAATTGACTGTTTGTGTGAGATTTCTTTTGCTTTTAAAGTTATAGAATATAAAAAACCACACTTAACATCATCATTAAAAAAAAAAAAAAATCAATTGGCTCAAAGAAGTATCACTTGTCTCCTTAACTGATTCTGCAAGAGGAAAGAATTCTAATAATTTGTTAATAATCATGCAAACCACTTGACAAGTGGTCTTGCACAGCCTTGGCATTCACAAAGCATAGGTTTTAATCTTTTATTTACATTTGTACATCTATCCCTGTATTCAGAACATGTTAAAGCAATTCACAGACTATCATCTTTTGATACATGGAGGTAACACATTACCATTTTAGCTTCTGGAAGTTTTTTCTTCGAACTTTCACTTTTCTCTGCACTCCACAGATTGCCCCTATCAAACCGGCCACGAAGGCATGCAAGTTCTCGTTCACGTTCCTAAGCAAATAAAGGGGGACAGGGGAAAAGCTGACAGCTTTAAGGTGTCAAAACATTTCAAATTCCTCAGGTAGGTGCAGAGCAGTAGGAATCTTCCCCAAGCTATGAACAAGCTATGAATGTAGCAAGTCATACCTGCTTAAGCTGAAGCGCTAAACTAGAAGTAGAGGAATTTTCATTTTGTTTGAGAAGCCTTTCCTGGATTGTCCTTGTATTTGGGGTAACAAGGGGTGTTCTGCACCCTGGAATATTCGTAGCAGGACTTCGTGCACTACGCTCTTGACAGCGCTCCCCAAAGCGTTCCAGGAAGGGCTTAATTCCTGATCCCCCTACAAGAACAATTGTTTTGCCTTGAAAGAAAGTATCAAAAACACAGAAAGAAATCACTGTCTGCTGAAGGTTCTCGATGAAGCAATTAAGCTGTCTCCTTTACAGCTCTTACTCTGTTATACTTTATACAAACTAAACCTGAAGTGCAAATCACCACAGTAACAGAACACTGGAGTTCATAAAGCAGCAAATCGGAGCAAATAGATGTCCTTCTCTTACTAAAGTCCATGTGTGATCCACCAGTTTAAATAAACTGGTTTGCTTTTTCAGTGTTTCCTCTACAACCAGCCTCACTTGCATCCTTCATGTAAATGAGCATTCTAATACATAAGGCAGATACATTGTTTAGCATCCACCCCACTTTACTGAGCTCGTCTCTTATTGTCAGCATATCTAGAGACACACGCTTGCTCCACTGGCCATCATTTCAAAGAGGTCAAGCTGTTAGTCCAAGTTTCTGACCCAGCAAACAGTTGAATTTAAAACTGGGGATGATCACTCGTTTCATCATCAATGCTACCACTGAAAAGAAAGACACTATGCAAAGTTAGAGCATCTATGTGGCATTTAGCTTTGACTTCTTCTAACATATGCAGACTTTTTACCTTATATTGATTGGATACACATAGTATCCAACAATTTGAAAGAAGCTTTGAATAGTCTCAATTAACTGATGTTAGCAGGATACATTTTTACATGGAGAGAAAAGTTAGATTGATTTTGCTCTCAAGAGTTATGAAAACAATGTCCAAGAAAATACCCTTGCAAAATATGGAAGCTGTACAATTTATGATAATTGTCACAGAACTCCTCAGGACTTCACTCAAGTTACAGCAGGAAATAGGCATTATCTGATATGTTATCATAAATTCTTAACTAATATGTAGTTTTCAACACAGGACACATAAGCCTAATTTGAATGAACATTTATTGACGCTGAAATACTGCTTACCTGGTGTTGTGGGTTTACCCTTAGGTTCAAGTTGCACATGTGTTCCTTTGACTGGCTCTTCTTTGGACTGAACTGGTTGAGGCAAAGTTGATTTTGCTGTTTGTGTACGCTTTTCAGTTTTCTGAGGGCTGCAGGGATTTTCTGTTAGCAGTTGTCTTACTTCAGATTCCTTAGAACAGGGAACAGCGACTCTTGAGGATTGTGTTAAAAAATTGTTTGGATCCTTAACAAGGGAAAAAGGAATAACATTAAAATGAGACTGTACATTCTTATTCTCTCAAGAGGAAAAAGAATGAAAGCGTTCTGCATAGCATACTGTAACATAACACACCTATTCCATCAACAATAGAAAAAGCCTAGAACAAGTGTTACAAGCTTTTTGTAGATTTTTTTTTTTTTAATACAGTATTTGGAATTGTTTCAGCATTTGATTCCAGGTGCTTTTGCCAGCTACTTTAGGTATTTTCCCACGTTTCCCTAAACAAGACTGCACATGGCAGATATTGCCATTTCATAAATGGCATAAATTGAACAATAGGTATCTGGTACTACTAATTTCAGCAGTCTGATTGAATTTTCATACAGCAATAATATTTACAATTTAAGTCGATCAACTGTATGAAGTTACAGAGTGAAACCCGGTATCTCTGTAAGAAGCCCCCTTCTGATGGTCAAAAGAGCAGCAATCATTTACTTTGACATCAACTTTTACAAGACTTATACGTACACTCACCTTTACGTCTCAGTGAAAAGGATTCTAAGCTGTTTCAGGTCTGCTATTAAAAAAAGGGCATGTGGGATTGCAATAAAGCAAAAGTTGTAAATAGACTAAGATTGCTCACACCAAATCTTTACATTCAGATTAAAGTTATGAGTTAACACTCGTCCCCCCAATACTCAAATCAATTTTTAATCAGCAACTAAATCAGACACTCACCGCTATCTTTGAGTTTGCTGGTTTATTAATAGAAGCCTCAACAAGCCTTTGAGAACAGGATGCAGCTTCCTGCTTTACACTGCTACTATTGATTCTAGCAGATGCTCCACTTGTAGTGGACAATTTGGATAAACAAGTAGTGCCAGGCTGTTCTTGTGCATTGTTTTGCTTTGCAGATGGATGACTTAGGTCATCTTCCCAGGAACCAATTGTAGCAGCAAGGTTAGCTAAACGGCCTCTTCTCCCAATAGGGGTATCACTTGCCAGGGCATTAGTTGTCTGCTTAGGTGGAGAAACAGACAGATCTTTTGACTGGAGGGGAGACAGAGGAACACATTCAGAGGGATCTGGAAAAAAGAAAAACACATTTATTTTGCTAATAAAGTATGTTGAGATATATTTGCATCTTTTGCATTTTGCTATATATTGATTTTATCAACAGTTAGATGTCCTTGCCAACAACGGAATCAAGCTTCTAGCTCTGAGGCATTGAGACTAATCAAGTTAAATTAAAGCTCACTGCAAAGCCAACACATTTTTAACTGAGCAGTTTACTAGTTTTACGTCACTGTTGTGATGAGCAAGGCATCAGACTAGTAGGGAACAGAAGTATAAAATTAAGTAGTTAACAGTTTCATTTTTTTAAGCCTTCCCCCCCAGTGCTGTCTAAGAATTATTTATTAAAACATTAGCATTCACACACACAAAATTATCTTCTGATAGCAAACATCATCATCAATGCAAACACTGAAAAACACCAATACTGCTTAGCAAGAGAAACACACCCTCGCTATCCCAGCATCGTCGCTGTTCTGCCAATTTCTGCATACGTGTTTTGACTGAAAGGGCTGCAGGAGTTTCTGACTCAGTGTTTGTTTTTCCTTTCTCAGGAGGCTGAACCAATGAAGCCCTGTTAGAAGCAGCTACGTGCAACTCTGAAGTCACCTCAGGAGAATGATGGCTTGTGGAACTTGAAGAAACCGGCTGTATGTTCTCTGAACTGGAAGCTTGAGTCTCCATATTGTTAGGGCAGAGCCTCTTTGATGGTGATGGCTTTGTAACAGGTTTCACTGTACAGGTCAGAGTATTCAAGCAAATTAGTATTCAAACAATCTATAATATTTTCAGAGACAGTACAAAACTGTAATGCAAATAAAGCTATGATTTATGAACACCCTGATACACCTCCCAAAAAAGTGCCCTTCCCAAATTCTACAAAGCACAAGGCACTATCTTTGGCATTATACAACTATTTTTTAAATAGCTTACTAATTACTTAGAGCATCTGCTCTCAGGTTAAGCTAAACATCAGCCATATTCAGTCTTAGTGGTCAGGTAACTGCATCCATCGCTGTTTAGTTCAAGATAAACACTAAGGGTTTTCACTTGCCCTTACAAAAAAAGGAGATGGGACTTGTTCAAAAGACAGTTTTTATTAAACTTGTTGCAAAATACCTTCTTCACCAGGAAGGGGAGCCTGGTTACCAGTTTCTAACAAAGGCTCTCTGACCCTCTTGATCTGCATTGTGGGTCTCACTCCCATCTTGGGCCGCTCAGCCATTTTCTTCTGCAGGTTCTCTCGCCTGGCACGGGTTCTCTCAAGGAGTTTCTGAGTAGTAAATAAATCATGTGTTACTATATATTGCAATAAGTGTGTTAACTAGTAATAGCTCAAATTAAAAGTGTTTGATTTTATATAGCGCATACCAAGATCCACAATACCAAAAATTTATAATCAAGGCTACATTAAGACAAATGCGACTCTCAGATGTTGCTAACTGATCTACCGTAGTGCATTGACATAGAAATATTCAAAAGTCTGGTTTTCTGACTGGCTATCTCCTCCTGAAAGCAAAACAAACAAAACATGTTTTCTACACTGCCAACTATGTTTTTTCTGTCTACCTCCTTTTTCTCACTGTGATAACCCCTGATCTCTATACTTTGATTTCACCATTGCAATAGCCACAGCTTCTCCCGTTTTCAGCAAGTACCTGTTAGATAAAAGGTAGCACATTCCAAGCTACCTTCTTGCTATCTGGCCGGTCAGTACATGTTTGCAGGTTATCTGAAGTTCTTTGCCCTACCAGACAGATAACAGGCTGCAGCATTTTCTTCACAGAGGCAATGGTTTGGGTCTTTTCACGTAGCCACAAACTTTCATGAAAATTGTAGAAGCAGTTAAGTTTGAGACACCTACTCTTTTATTAGGAAGAGGTGAAGCTAGCTGGTAGATTCCAAAGTTCCGCTCATTAAATCAACCAGTGTCTCCCATTAACTTGGCTTTCAAAGGAAACCAGGCTTAAGAGACACAAGCAATGGCAAAATTAAAAAAAGAAGAGAGGCTTCTATAGAGCCTGAAGTAGTCACAAACGTTTGAAAGTAATTACTTTTTTTAGTGAATCACCACATGACAGTCTTGAACTGTCAAGTCTTGCCTTGCTAGTAGGTTTCTTTGACACATTGCTAAAGCATGTGGTCAAGTCACCTGATTGGCACTAACCCTCTAACAAAATAAACAACATTGAAGTGATTGCCAAGTGGTCATAAAAAAAATTCAACAAATTAAATGCATGGCTGTTAATATTTTAAAAACTGTTGCTATTACACCTCCTAAATCAAAAGGTTCCTCAAACTTAAGTTTTAAGAAGAATAGACTGATGTTATAATTAGTTGTCTTAATAAACAGGCTCTTTATCACAATATATCTGTATACAGAAGAACATATAAAGAGATGCCAATTAAGCTATCTAACAATATTCTTTTTCATTCCCTATCCATCGGAAATTTGAGCACCATGCTCATATTCCATACAAAATAGCTGTTTTAGTAAATGTTCCACACTAGTAGAAAGTGATTCCTTATAGCATCCAAGTTTGAAATATATTGCATTTTTTTTTTAATATTGCATTCATAGATCATTATCACTCAGTTTGATCACATCTAAAGGATACTTAATTACTCCTTTGATCTAGGTTTTAAGGCACTTTGAGACAAGAAATTGTGTGATTGAACTAATGGCCTTTAAAGGGAAGCATATAAACTGCACTTGTTTGGTGGCACATAAATTATTGTGAGAACTGTGCCAGGCATTATCTGTCCTGTTGCACAGCAATTAAATACACATTTCACATTTTTAACTGTCTAAGGCTGAAGTCTTAAACAATGTTCCATTGTAGAGCAACACAGGACAAATGGAATGTCAATCTCAACAGTTTTTTGTGAAAGCAAGGATCAGCTTCTCTAACTTCCATAGAAGAGGAGGATTTTGGAAGGGGGCGGGGGAGTGGGGGGGGAAGGAAGGGGGGATACATGAAATGCTAGGAGTGCCTTCAATGCAAGTTCCATGGCTAGTTGTGTCCACAAGTCAAGTCTCCTTATTTCAACCTCCAAAAGGCAGAGCTACAAAGTGCAGGTAATACCCACATAAATAAAATCTTAAAGGATATATAAATTAACTGTTCTTCTTGCGCGAAGTATATCTTCCACAACAGTATTCCTACAGTTCTTTTCAAATGCAGTCACATTCCTTTCTGTTTTGTTAGTTCAGTAAAATGGAGTTTCAGTTGTTACAGATAGGATGTCACTTCCCAAGAATGCACGCCTCTGTTGTTGAGCTCCAGCTCCTATTGGCTTTTTGTATCTCAAGTTTTCCATGCAACTGCTGTAATTCAAACTCTGCTATTACACACGATGAGTAAGCCAGTCACCAGAACTTGAGACTTATTTTTCATCAGCAGGGTATTTGCTACAAGTACGTTCTCCAACTGTTCTGATGACAGCCAAAGTTTCAGAGTAGAACACACCCATTTCATTACATCTAAGAATCTGAGAACTACTAAGTCACAGTTAGAGGATCACTGTGTTGCAAAAGCACCCTCTAAAAATCAGAAAAGGCCTTCCCACTTTAAAAGTTGATGCACAATCTTGCTTTTGAAAAAGTATGTTTTAAAGTACTTATTTAGCAGCATTAGAGAAGATACTCAGGCTCATATGTGATTACAAGAATTTGTTCTAACTACCCTGCTTTACTAGCAGAACGCAGCAAAGGGAGCAAGTTTATCCGTGACATTGAAGGAACAGTTAACTTCAAACTTCACATATGCAAATTTTCCCCTGAGCAACTGCATCACTTATTTCTCTTTGGTCATCCTCCATGCTAGGAAACCATACTTTCCCTATGAATGTTAATAAGTACTTCAAAGTACAAAATAACTTAGACTATTTCTAACATTCTGTAGTACCAAACAAAGCCTTTTGTGCAAGAAAGGTGAATTATACAATCAGCTATAAACTGAAAATCACAAATAGTATGTTCATTGTGATCCTACAAGAGTGTCCACTGCACCATCTCCTCAGCACATTCTGTATTAATAAGTTGGTTGAGATTCAGAAGGTTACTAGGTTTTGCTCATAAGATTAATCAAAAGAAACATTATTTCAGAACTGTCTGATTTGAAAGCATTCCACTGAATCTTACAGCAAAATTTACTTGAGCTTAAATTCAGTGAGACCAGGACAAAATTTGTTACTGTAATGTGATCAGCAAACACCAAATCAACAGCATGCTTTGGCCAATTAAGGCTCATATCACACTGCTTACATAATCAGCACTTACAATGCCTCACCAGTTCCCTGCAAGTAACAGAGCACAGTAATTTGTAGACAAAGATTATCTGAAAATAGTTAACCTAAGGACAGGTTATATTAAAAGAAAAAAAAATCAGAACATAAATACTTCATAGTAGGTGTTAAAAAGCTTCCTTTTCAGAAAACTTTTTTGAGGAAAGTTATTAAACTTCAATACTAACACACTAATATTGGTCAGATTTTTACACAACAGTGGAACATGTCCTCCACAGCATAAACATTCTTGATAAGGCAACATTTTAGGTATTCTGCAACACCAGCTAACATTCGAACAAAGTTTACTCTAAGGAGCGGCCTCACAGTTGGTCATAGCTTTTCAAAGTCAGTTATCTACAAGAAGGGCGTGTTGAGGTTGGAATATCTCCCAGCATGCAAAACCATTTTAAACTTGATGCAGTAGTCTGGACTTGAAGTTTATTTAAGACTAGTCGGATCATGTCACTCACTACCAATTAAGGAAGGAGGTTTTAGATATTTATACTTAGCAAGCCTTTACATGGGGGTAGGGTAAATCTGCCTTGGCATAACACATTCAGTAAATATTTTCAGATCAATACTTTATGTTCAGCTTTTTAAATCAGATCTGTGCAGTCACCTTTTTTGGGCACTCAATTTATTTAAAGTATGTCAATTTGAGATACAGATTGTTTTCAAGGGGAGGAGAGAGTATTTCACCAATGTATTTGATTTGGATTTTTTTTAAAAGTAATTTAAGTTTTTGTTTAGGCAGGCTATGGATTGAAGATCATTTTTCCTATGACATTTCTCAAAGCAGTCACAAGACAGCTCCACAGCTTTACATCTGTCACACAAAATCAGAGTACAGTACAGCATCTTTAAGAAACCTCCAACCTTCATACAGATTCAAGGCAGTCAATTCCACCCATTGTATTACAATTTTGCCTCTGTAAAACTCAAACACACACACACAAATCCACCCTAACAACTGACTGACTTCTTTTTTTTTAAAAAAAGAGGAACTTGTGCCTGCAAATGAAAGTGACCAATCGCAGGTGGCAATAATGTCAAAAAGGACGCATTTTTAATCAGATGGTCGCTGCTTTGGGCAAACTTCACACTCGACCTTTAGATATGTCAGGCACAATGTGTGTCAATACCACTCCCATTAGCTTCCAGTGTCTTTTCTGTTTCAGCCGAAAATCTTATCTGCCAGATGCACATGAAAGGCAAACTGTTAAGCGCTAGGAAACGCAGTCAAGCATCAACCCGGTTTAGAAAAGGTCTTCTCCTTTGCAACCCCTGGCATGAATAACCTCTGTCCTCTCCTGGAAGAGACCCGACGCCCCGCAAATAGCTGGGCGGCTGCAGTGTTGGAGGTACGAGCAAGACGAGGGCGCAGAGAGAGGCGGCAAGGAGATCTGTCTCCCCCTTGCAGAGAAGGGCGCTCTCTACAAGCCCACGAACTCCCGGAATAATGAAAGGGGGGACGCTGACAGGCCTTAGCCAGGAGCCAGGGCTGGGAGAAACTATGCCGCCCCAGCAGCGCGGCCTCAAGGAGCAGCTCCCCTGCGGACC